GCTGATCAAAAGAAAATCTTTAAGATATTGGTGTGCACATGTATTAATGCTAGTATTCAAGTATCAATGAGGCCATGTTCTGCTTCTAGTTTACATAGTACATGTATCCTCACTGAATGGTTATGGTGGCTGTTTAGTATCATGTATTTTTAGTTCTATACAGTATAATGGGAACAGTTCCTGTCATTTTGAATGTGGTCAGGAAGGATTTCCATCATCTGTAAAAATGAAAAGGGGCGAGGGTGTTGTGGTCTTTTTAAAGCCATCCAATCTAATGATACAGAGATTAAACTCGAAGAGCTAGTTTTTCCCCAATCAGAGTAGGATGGCTTGTGCTGTCTGATACACGGCGGTGTGAGCAGTGTTCCCAATTTACAGAGACTGCAGGTGAGGGCACCAATCGGTGTTTCTTGGCCTTTTTAAGGAGGTCATGTACAACTTGCACGGGACCAAACTCCTGGTTTGAGAGAGCGCCGCTGCGAGTGTTTCACAGTGAGATTATACTCTGGTAACTGAGATTATACTCTGGTAACCTCTAGGTTTAGAAAAGTTTTCGGTCAAGATTTTTTTCTTCTGTTTTAATCACGGTCAGAATGATGGCGTATGCAAGTTCAAGTCCATTTTTGTCATTCACATCACATGGTACATGAGGTGGAACAAAATTATGTACTCATGGTCCCAGTTACATCCAAAAATAACAAATATAAAGCGTAAAAAGAAACTGTAAATAAAGATCTAAGATGTACGCTACGACGTAACTGCAGCCCGAACAAGAGTCCATGGTGAGCAGATGGGTACGAATGAATACAGCAGCATGAGATGATCAGCAGCATGAGATGATCAGCAGCACATATAAGTGACATATCATTTAAAGTGGAATTGCAGTGATTTTCTTGGTTAGATTAATGAGTCCAACAGCCTCGGGGTAGAAGCTGTTCCTCAGTCTCGTGGTTCTACACTTAATGCTCCTCAACCTCCTTCCTGAGGGGAGCGGGGCAAAAGTGTGTGCTGGGTGAGTGTGGTCCTTCATGATGCAGGTGGCCCTCTTCCTGCATCTGGAGGTGTAGATGTCTGTGATGGTGGGGAGACTGACTCCAACATCTTCTGTGCAGCCTTCACCACTCTCTGCAAAGCTTTTCTTTCTGCAGCTGTGCAGCCTCCATGCCACACGTTGATGCTGGAGCACAGGATGCTCTCCACTGCACACCTGTAGAAGGAGGTGAGGACTGAGCTTCC